AATCAATGTTTAACAGAGTTTATATGTGCATTTATTTTGGTTTTCCTTTGTTTTGACTGCCTGCTCTGCACCAGGCATGGGGCTTCAATGAGACTCAGCATTGTCAAAACCAGAAAACTAACTGGCACAATACAAATAACTAGCTACAGATCTTGCACTAGTTTACACGCACTTGTTTTTTCAGTTGTTTGTTCATTTGTTTGAGGTAGGTGTTTGAGATTATATAGTATTTAATTACTTATATAGATTTGTATAATCACTACCACCACAGTCAAGAGACAGGACTGTTCTGTCAGTACAAGGAAGTTCCTCATCTGACCCTTTATTATTACGGCCTCCCTCCCCTACACCTGCCCCCTGGCAACTACTTATGTGTTCTTTATCACTGTAATTTTGCCATTTTGAGAATGTTATGTAAATGTAATCATACAAAATATAACATTTGGAAATTGGCTTTTTTTACTCAGCATGATGTTCTTAAGATCCAGCCAAGTTATTGGGTGTATCAATGGTTTCTTCCTTCTTATTGCTGACTAGTATTGCATGGTACAGATGTAATAAGTTGTGTTTAACTCTTCACCTGTTGAAGGACATTTGGTTTATTTTCACTTTTTAGCTATGCAAATAAAAGCTGCTATGGCAAAACAAAAGAAGAAAAAAAAGAATCAAGACTGAATCACTTCCCTGAAGGCATTCTACTTGCAGTTACTTGGAAAGGAAAAGTTGAGTAGGTTCATTGGTTTTTTGGTTCATTTCAATTTTAACATTTTATTTAACCCATATATCAAGAATATTATAATTTTACCAAATTGACATATTTTTGTGTTTTGTTCTTGTAGGTCTTCAAAAATCTAATATTTTATGCTGACAGCACATCTCAATTTAGACTAGCCACATATCGAGGATTCGATAGCCATGCGAACCTAAATTGTATGGAAAGACATTGTCCTGCACCCGGCATCGTGGGAATCGATCTCACTGCTAAGATGTACACCTGACTTCACTCTTTTTACTCAAGGACGTGGTTAAAATTAATTAAAATCCTGTACTCCTTTTCTCAACTGTAAAATAACAATAATATATGCACTCCAACTTGGGAGTATAATACGGATTTAAAATCAAAGCTACATAGCACATAGCTCTGAGCCTGAGACAAGTAAAAGCTCAATAAAGTTTGTCATATTGCGGTTACTCTCTTTATCCGCATCATGATCACACTCACAGCATTTGTGATATTTTCGGGATCCATCTCCTGCTCAGGTATGGTCAATGACTTCGGACTCCAGGAATGGAAGTGGAAAAGAGCAGAATTATAAATGAGAATTCTGAAATCACCAACAGAAAAAAAAATAACATGAAATGTATAGTCCTCTGAGCGGAAACTTTGCATACTGATGCTCCCATGTCTGGCCATCTCATTCATCCTGCTATCTTGATAGTAAAGTAACAAGTTTCTCCAAATTACCTCCTCCAAAGACCATCTCTGTTGGCACTTACTGGTCTGTGTTGTGTCTCTGCTGGGCCATGACCTAGGAGTTTATGTCCACTGCCTTCTCCTGCCTGGTGAATGAAGAGGGCTGTTGGTGCCCTGTCCTCAGGACTGGAGGGAGACACGCAGGCATGAATCTCCTGATGCAGGGGACACCTCCGGGAGGAAAAGACATGTATGAAGCTTAACTGAGACTGGCAGCCTAAAGGGTTGGTGGCACTGGTTAATTATTTACTTCCGTGTGGCCTTGAGAGATCAATGCACAGAGCTCATAATTAACATAATTGGCCCATGTTCTTTCAATCTCTCAAGACCTCCGAATATTAACAGAATAGGAAAAGGAGAAAAGTAAACGTGCTTAGAAGAGTCTGAGCTTTTTTCTCAGAGGAAAGCTCAGCTGTACACTTCACTTCGGAAGTCGTTTCAAAGATCTTAACATAAAATGCAGATGTCTTTTCAATTTATGACTTTTCAACTTTGACATCTGCAAAACTATTATCATGAAAATTAGGGAGAATTGGGTCTTATTTAACGAGAATCTGAAACTCCATTTTCTCAATTAAGATTTCTGTCTCTAAAAGGAACTTTGTGTTTCCCTTTTTTAAAGCTATTTTGTAGTTTGTTTGTTTGCTCATTTAAATGGCAGTGTAAGTTCTTATTTTCTGTCATTGATATATGTTGGGTATACTAGAAAACTATGGACTTTTATACACTTATGTATAGCTTCCCACTTCTCTTAAATAAACTATAACATGTAACAAGTACACTCGAGGTGTCAGCTAGGGCTGCAGTCATGTGAAAATTGGACTGGGTAGAGACCTGTTTCCAAGTCCACTCATTTTGGAAAGATGGAGTTCCTCTGGGCTCTTGATCAGAGGCCTTCCGCAGTTCTCTGTCACAGGGAAGCTCACACATGGCTGTTGGCTCCCATTAAGACAAACGGATAAGTGACAGAGAAACAAGGGCCAAGAATTTGTACCCTAATCTCAAAAATGACATCTCATCAGTTTTGCCCTGTGTTGGTTAGAAGCAAGTCAGTAGGCCCAGGGCACACTCAATAG